ATGGCTGCAGTTACCTGTACAGGTGTAGCTACCTGTATGACTGCAGTTACCTGTGTGCTCAGCAGGGAGGAGATGTGCTCCAGGCTGTAGCGGTTGTTGTCGGTGGCAACCAGCTGCAGGACGGTGAACTGCCCACGTTGAGGTACGGCCAGGTAAACTCCAAGGCAGAGGCCAGTGGTGGTGGAAAAGGCGAGCCTGAGGCGGTGGCCCTGACCGGACAGACGGCGAACACCTTTACAGGCCGGCATATACTCCAACATGTCGGTCTCCAGCAGGCAGGCCTGCTCCTAAAGAAAGACAACACGTCAGCCTCCAACACTGTACAGGTAGATACAGGTGTGTGCACCATGGACAGGTAAGAGCAGTCCCACCCTGAGCGACCACATGCGCAGCCTGTGATCCTGACAGAGGGCGAAGATGAAGGAGTCTTCCTCCAGCTCCCTGACCGCCAGACTGAGCACCAGGTCGGCCGGACTCTGTTCTCCTCGGATCGCTGTGGGCATCCAGCCGGACAACCGGCTCATCATGGAGCTCCGCTTCAGCTCCACCACTGACACGCTGCCTGGAGACAGGAGAACATGGAGGAACATGTTCATCTGAGGTTCTACTACTGTGATGCAGAGAACATGGAGGAACGTGTTCATCTGAGAGGTGCTCACTGACACAGATTTAGACATATTTGTGAACAGTATTTGAGAGAAACAGGCCTTTAGTGAACATAGAAAAAGTCTCAGATCTTTGAGTTCAGCTCGTGAAAAATGGGAACAAAAACAAAAGTGTTGCGTTTATATTTTTGTCTAGTGTAGCGCTAATAAAACCACTGCTCAGAAAGCCTGCTCCAGATCCAGGCGTTCTAGATATAGGCCCAGATCTACCCTCCCTTTGATTGGTAAAGTTCTTGAAAACGTAGTTGCAGCCAGTTATGTGATTATCGGCATAGAAATGTTTGTCTGAAGAGCTTCAGTCAGGATTTAGAAGCATCATAGAACAGAGACACACTGGTGAAGGTCACTGATGAACTCCTTATAGCCTCAGACAGTGCATAGTTTCTATGCTGGTTCTGCTGGACCTCAGTGCTGCATCTGATTAATTTATGATGATTCTTCCAGAGTTAGTTATGGAGTTCCACAGGTCTCTATGTTAGGAGCTATATTATTTACCTCGTACATGCTCCCTTTAGGCAGTATTATCAGGAAGCACTGCAGACACTACTTACACTGTCATACAGACGACACCCAGTTATATTTATCTATGAAGCCAACGAAACCAATCAGCTGGTCAGACTCCAACATGTCTGAAGGACATAAAGGCCTGGATGACCTGGAATCTCTGTTATTATTATTCTAATAGATTATTAATTCATGAGTGAATCGCTTGTTCACAAGCAGGGATTCCTGGACAGACAATCAAAATGAATGCAACAGAAAGTCGCCATACACTGGAGCCACTATAGCGAGCTGTAGTGTTGAAAAGGTTAAGGTCAGGATTAAAGCGTTCCTCTGTGATGAAGCTGATAGTTAGAGCTGCTCAGGATCACCTGAACTGTCCCTTGGTGATGCTTCTGTAGCTTCAGACTGCCAGGGAATTCCCATGATGCACTGGGCCCCCCCCAATTTGCCAACCACCTGCTCAGAGGGAGTCCAAAGACTGCTCTGGATGGTTGGTTCTCTGTTTAAATTCTGAGGTCTATACCTGACTGTGTTAAGCTCTGTGCGCTGTAAACTGCACTATATAAATAAAACTGAAATGAACTGACTTGAACAGGGAGGAATGTGTTCTGAAGTTCTGTGACTTGGATGCGGCATGGAGCGAACACACAGACTCCAGGTGCGTACCTGGAGCATCGTGCGGCGGCAGCGTCACCACCACGATGCCTCCTGCAGGTGAAGCCAGAGCATAGTGAGCCTCCCCCTGGAAGCTGAGCCAGGCCGTGGAGCTGCTCGGACTCCCCGTCTGGCCCACCTGGCTGGGGATGATGGCGCTGTGGGCTGAGTCCTGCAGGCTCAGCTTCCCCACATCGGTGAAGATGGACTGCATGTGCAGCTCGGTCACCAGCTCCTGCAGGTCAGAAAACATCAGAACAAGCTGCAGGAGGACAGTCGCAAGACAGCAAAGAGCTGCAGTTCACTTCAATAAATTCATATGAAGGAAAGTTTTAAGAGTGCATCCACGATAGGACCAGGCGGGGGTGGCACAAGCCATCTCACCGATTTCAATGAAACTTTGCCAGTTTAAAGGGATCCACCCAAAACTACTTCAGTCTAAGTTTAAGGACATTTGGTCAAACTGGGGGGATTTCACCAGCCCTCCTTGTTGTTTTTGCAAAAATGACCAAAAATTGCCTAAAAAATGTTCAGAAGTATAAAGCTCTACTGCTGTAAGAATTCAACCAAATCTTTTCATATGTTCAGTGAATGTTATCCAACCCAAGGACAATCTATTGTCAACGTTTGGTTCTCCTACGACCAGTTTCATCACACAAATCATGTCGGCCAAGACCGCCTCTCTCACCCAACAGTGAAAACTGTTAAAATACCCAAAGTTTAGGCCAAAATATCTCCA